AGCCCCAGAGGAAGGCGCATCCTCAGGGCCAGAACCGCATGTGCGGCTATTCACTTTTCTTTTGTGCACCTTATGATTTGATTTACCATTGCTAATTTTAGCTCGGCTGTGAGAAAACTAGGGGTTATTACAACTAGTGTGCAGGCCTCTTTTTGGGTACTTAGCCCTTCAGTTAGAAACTTTTTGCAACGAGATATACTTACATAGTTTACATAGTTACATAGCGGAAAAGAGACTTGCGTCCATCAAGTTCAGCCTTCCTCACATTATTTTTTCGCTGTTGATCCAATAGAAGGCAAAAAAAAACCAGTTTGAAGCACAATTTTGCAACAAGCTAGGAAAAAAATTCCTTCTTGACCCCAGAATGGCAGTCAGATTTATCCTTGGATCAAGCAGTTATTACCCTACATTGAAAGATTATATCCTTGAATATTCTGTTTTTTGCAAGTATGCATCTAGTAGCTGTTTGAACATCTGTATGGACTCTGATAAAACCACTTCTTCAGGCAGAGAATTCCACATCCGGATTGTTCTTACAGTAAAAAAACCTTTCCTTTGCCTTAGACAAAATCTTCTTTCTTCCAGTCTAAACGCATGGCCTCGTGGCCTATGTAAAGTCCGGTTTGTTAATAGATTTCCACACAATGGTTTGTATTGGCCCCGAATATATTTGTATAATGTTATCATATCCCCTCTCAGGCAACGTTTTTGTAAACTAAATAGGTTTAAATTTGATAGCCTTTCTTTATAGCTGATATGTTCCATTCCTTTTATTAATTTTGTAGTCCACCTCTGCACTTTTTCTAGGGCCATAATATCCTTCTTTAGAACAGGTGCCCAAAATTGCACAGCATATTCAATATGGGGTCTTACCAGTGATTTATAAAGAGGCAAACTTATATTCTCGTCCCGAGAATGAATGCCATTTTTCATGCATGACAATACCTTACTGGCCTTGGCCACTGCTGATTGACATTGCACATTGTTGCATAGTTTGTTGTCTATAACAATTGCCAAGTCCTTTTCGTGTGTTATTATCCCTAATTCGCTTCCATTAAGGATATACGTTGCTTGTGTATTCTTTACGCCGAAGTGCATAACTTTGCATTTTTCAACATTATATTTCATCTGCCATTTGAGTGCCCAGTCCCCCAGTCTATCTAAATCCCTCTGCAGCAAAGTAATATCTTGCTCACATTGTATTATTTTACAAAGTTTTGTGCCATCTGCAAACACTAAAACATGACTTTCAATGCTGTCTTTGAGATCATTTTTAAACATGTTAAATAGAAGGGGTCCCAGAACAGACCCCTGAGGGACACCACTTGCCACCTCTGTCCAGCTTGAAAATTTACCATTAATGACAACTCTTTGTACTCTGTTTTTAAGCATTTTCATCTAGACTGATTTCCTTGAGTTTGAACACTAATCTATTGTGTGGAACTGTATTAAATGCCTTGGCAAAATCCTTTAGAGATAAGAGTTGGTTGTTAAACCTTCTGACTGCCAGTGTTGGTTACTTTCATTATATATGTGAGATTTGTGAATTTCATTTATGGATACTGCTATATACGGGCACAGTGGGCTACTTAACCCTCTGATTGATAGTGGTATTACTAACTAATTGGCTGCATCTGGTTGTACCCTTTCAACTATTCAGCTAATTTGTCTGATCTGAGTGTTTACCTATATGAAAGGTTGGATATCACTAGAAGAGCTGTCTCTTATTACTAGTTAGAATTGATTTAACATATACCATGAGACATTTATTTAGCTTTTTTTGGGGGCACACTAATGAATTGTTCCTTCCTTGTAATTATATATTTTTTCTTATTTATTCAATTTGCATCTGAGTCATGTTAACAGTACACACTGACTAGGGGACAATCAAGGTGTACATTGTATACAACTACTTTGCTACATTTCAGTTCATAAAAAAAAAAAAGAGAAAAAAGTGCGCTGTGCCTTTAAGTGATTTGTGCATACATTAATGTCCATATACTCATACAAAGAAGTTTTGCAAATGTGAAAACTTTATACACTAAATAGCGTATTAACAAAGTGACCAAGTGATACAATAAAGTGCAAAAAAATACAAAGCACTTACATAGACAACTTTTAAAAGAATGAGGAGATAAAAAGAAAGAAAAAGAAACATAGTGTAAAACTGACAAAAAAGCGAAGAAGTGGTATACAAAATAAACCAATCAACTCACAAGAGTGGAGCAGTAGAATTCTGCTCTCACTGTAATAGCCCAGAAAATATCAGAATGCAGGACCACGATAGTATAGGCAGGACAGCAGCTGGATATTTTTCAAACCTTTATTAGCAGCATAAAATAAAAATCACGTTGGCTCCGTCCTTGTATGGCCAGTCCTCAGACCCTTGTTGAACTTCTGCAGTATGTTCGGGCACTGGAACATGGCACAAATGCAATTTTAAGGATACGGGCTCACTCGGTGCGTCCTGACGCCGTGCCTCTGACAGCGTGATGACGCGTTTCGACTGGATGGCTTCTTCAGATCACGTAAGTGCTTTGTATTTTTTTGCACTTTATTGTATCACTTGGTCACTTTGTTAATACACTATTTAGTGTATAAAGTTTTCACATTTGCAAAACTTCTTTGTATGAGTATATGCACATCAATGTATGCACAAATCACTTAAAGGCACAGCGCACTTTTTTCTCTTTTTTTTGGTATACAGAGTGTTTTCTTGAGCTATTTTACACTTAATTAGTGCTGCTTGCCTTTTTCTTTCACTTGTTATTGTTCACTAGCGCCTTTAATTACTTGATCATTTTTGCACTTTACATTTCAGTTCCTCGCTGATACTCAGCCTGTTTAACTGGTATGGCGGATTTTGTTATAAGTCCTCTTAACATATTTTTCCTATATTTACCTTATTAAAGATTTAGTTTTTCATATATCTTTTGGTGGGACTTATTTGTGTGTGACATGCCTATTGGCACCTGTCAGACACTATTGTAATTTGGTTGTTTGTTTTTGCAAATGGGTTACCCCTTTATGAAAGTCTCTCTAGTATGACTTATTAGATCTCAGTTTGGTAGAACTTTTTAGAAACCACTGAATCGAGCAGCAATGGCCCAGGTAAGGGGGTTTAGTGGGTTTCAATAGCTGGGATACCCCTCCCACAATTCCAGACCACAGCTTTCACATACATATATACAGTAAACAACAATTCAAAATGTCACAGAATTATTGTAGTTTTTTTTAATTTATTTTTTTAAACCCAACCTAGGCAATAACAACGGGGGTTTAGTTACACTATATTATCATATATTACAAAAGCCCTCTTGGTTTCACATATATATGGGAGTCCAGGGCCAACTCATGTGGATTTGCACCCCTCTGCCCTGCAGAGAACCCCAGGAGGAAGGATTTCACAAGTAGGTTAATCTTGAAAGAGCAGGAATTAGCTTGCTAGGATAGAACCTGCCCTCTTTGTTTTTATACACATGTAACAAATAGTCTTTAATTTCAAATTCAATTCCATAAAAAGTGGTGGTGAACCATTTTGCAAATTTAAATAAACACTTTAGCATTAAGAATACAAATCTGTATTATTAATCCTATAGTATACCTGCCCCTATTTGATTTTATAATGGACCAATCCACCCCACCCCCACATATAATTAAATTTAAATTTTACTCACCTTGTCTCCATCGTTAAGTGTCCCTCATTGCTGCGGTCCTCTCCTCCTCAGTTGATATTATTCTGGAGTTTGTGCCTACATAATGCTAATCAAACTAATTGCTCCTAATAGACAAGCATTGGGGAACACAGGCTCAATGCGTCTCTGATTCTTTCATAAGGAATCATTGCATGCAGTGAATCTCTATGACAAGCAATGACACCACTGCGCATGTGCCTGTGATGTCACGGTATGCCTTGGTATCAGTAGTGTGTCCTGGTTTTATGCTGCACTAGGCATGCCAAAACTCAACCACCCCTCCCCCCTTCCCCGCCTTCTAAATACACACACACACATTCACTGACAGACACACATACATTAGCTAACAGACATACACACTCACTAACAGACACATACAGTCACTAGCAGACACACACATTCACTAACAGATGCATACACTCTCACTAACAGACACACACAAACTAACAGACACACACATAGTAACACACTCCCTAACAGACACACTCCCTGACATACACTCACTAACAGACACACACACTAACAGACATGCACACTAACAGACACACACACACACACACACACTCACTAACAGACACACTCACTAACAGTCACACACACTAACAGACACACACTAACAGACACACATTCACTAACAGACACAGACACACACTCACTAACAGACACACACACACACACACTCACTAACAGATACACACACTAACAGACACACACACACACACTAACAGACACATACACTAACAGTCACACACACACACTAACAGATAGGGGTTCTCCTATTCCCTGGGGGTCCAGTGGCTGCTGGGCGGTCAGGCGGGCCACAGAGTGAGGTTCCCAGCCCTACTCTACGGGCGGCGCGCGAGGGAGCTGAGCAGAGTGCTCAGGGGAAAGTGCTCCCTCGCCAGCGCCGCCCGCACAGATTTTTACTTAGCCACCCGCCTGGCATGTCAGTTAGCCACAATGCTAACAAGACATTTGCCATGGGCATTTGGGGGTGGCTTTTTTTGCTGCCCCCTGGAAAATGCCGCCCAAGGCAAATGCCTTGTTTGCCTCGCGGCTAATACGTCCCTGCTTGGTATGGTACAGGAAGTAACATTCCTAGCTCTCCTATCCAAAGGGGTTGGAATCATGTCCCATTTCCAAACATTCAACCTATTAAACTACAGGGAGTGCAGAATTATTAGGCAAGTTGTATTTTTGAGGATTAATTTTATTATTGAACAACAACCATGTTCTCAATGAACCCCAAAAACTCATTAATATCAAAGCTGAATATTTTTGAAGTAGTTTTTAGTTTGTTTTTAGTTTTAGCTATGTTAGGGGGATATCTGTGTGTGCACGTGACTATTACTGTGCATAATTATTAGGCAACTTTACAAAAAACAAATATATACCCATTTCAATTATTTATTATTACCAGTGAAACCAATATAACATCTCAACATTCACAAATATACATTTCTGACATTCAAAAACAAAACAAAAACAAATCAGTGACCAATATAGCCACCTTTCTTTGCAAGGACACTCAAAAGCCTGCCATCCATGGATTCTGTCAGTGTTTTGATCTGTTCACCATCAACATTGCGTGCAGCAGCAACCACAGCCTCCCAGACACTGTTCAGAGAGGTGTACTGTTTTCCCTCCTTGTAAATCTCACATTTGATGATGGACCACAGGTTCTCAATGGGGTTCAGATCAGGTGAACAAGGAGGCCATGTCATTAGATTTTCTTCTTTTATACCCTTTCTTGCCAGCCACGCTGTGGAGTACTTGGACGCGTGTGATGGAGCATTGTCCTGCATGAAAATCATGTTTTTCTTGAAGGATGCAGACTTCTTCCTGTACCACTGCTTGAAGAAGGTGTCTTCCAGGAACTGGCAGTAGGACTGGGAGTTGAGCTTGACTCCATCCTCAACCCGAAAAGGCCCCACAAGCTCATCTTTGATGATACCAGCCCAAACCAGTACTCCACCTCCACCTTGCTGGCATCTGAGTCGGACTGGAGCTCTCTGCCCTTTACCAATCCAGCCACGGGCCCATCCATCTGGCCCATCAAGACTCACTCTCATTTCATCAGTCCATAAAACCTTAGAAAAATCAGTCTTGAGATATTTCTTGGCCCAGTCTTGACGTTTCAGCTTGTGTGTCTTGTTCAGTGGTGGTCGTCTTTCAGCCTTTCTTACCTTGGCCATGTCTCTGAGTATTGCACACCTTGTGCTTTTGGGCACTCCAGTGATGTTGCAGCTCTGAAATATGGCCAAACAGGTGGCAAGTGGCATCGTGGCAGCTGCACGCTTGACTTTTCTCAGTTCATGGGCAGTTATTTTGCGCCTTGGTTTTTCCACACGCTTCTTGCGACCCTGTTGACTATTTTGAATGAAACGCTTGATTGTTCGATGATCACGCTTCAGAAGCTTTGCAATTTTAAGAGTGCTGCATCCCTCTGCAAGATATCTCACTATTTTTGACTTTTCTGAGCCTATCAAGTCCTTCTTTTGTCCCATTTTGCCAAAGGAAAGGAAGTTGCCTAATAATTATGCACACCTGATATAGGGTGTTGATGTCATTAGACCACACCCCTTCTCATTACAGAGATGCACATCACCTAATATGCTTAATTGGTAGTAGGCTTTCGAGCCTATACAGCTTGGAGTAAGACAACATGCATAAAGAGGATGATGTGGTCAAAATACTCATTTGCCTAATAATTCTGCACTCCCTGTATTATTTTTTGGAGGAAGGATGCTGGATGTAGGACTAAAGACACTAAAACAACTTCAATTAGATGAAGTTAGTGTTCCTTGAATTAGCAAAACTGGAAAACCATATCCCACCTTAGTTGGTCGAGCTCAGGTGATTCTAAATGTAAGGGGTACAGACCTACATTAATAGGAACTAATGCTACTGCTTTCATTTTTATTAATTATTATGAATATTTTCTCATTAAACCCACTGGTTTGCTATTTAAATCCAGAATTAATTAGAATTCCAGCTCCCGTACACCTGGGCTATGACATTGTGCCATACAGAGAATAGAGAAATTAAGCTGATAATATTAATTATGCCTTGTCTTCCTGTGTGTATTGAAGCTGTGTATTAGCATTCTCTAGAGTTCAGTGCTGGTGGTTTTAACTTTCATTCAACAGTTTCCTTGCTAAAACTGTAAAATAAATCACAGGAAATTAATTTAAGTGGAGTTCTGTTTTTTTTTTCCTCGGTTTGTGGCTGAAGTTATCCAAGTGAAAAATTAAAATGTATTTGCACTTTGAAAGGGATTGAAAGAAAACAAAATCAAATGAGAATTCAATAAAAAGACCAATGTCGTCTGACTTATTTCATCTACAAAGCGGTGTAAAGTAGTTCACAGCGGTTAGATTAACACGATGTTAATGGTCTCGAAGGGAAATAGGAGATGCAAAAATAAATAACCACCACTACAGAAGCTGGAGATACACCACGACACACCCAAGTAACTAAACCTAAACAAACATAGATTAAAAAGACACTAACTGAGACACACTCACAAACATCCACCGACCATCAATAATAATGCGAACCTACTGTATCTGTTTCAAAACACAACACACAAGATTACCAATGACACACTCATGCAACCAGACACATTGCTGTCTTAAAACAACAATGAACCCCCCACCCCTAGCGACAACTTAACAATCGAACTGTCAGGCACAACAGAACGCCTACTAAAAGCACTCTCCGTATCCAACTACACCATGACATCGCAGCTAGGAGACCCGCGAATCACACGTTAGCAGTGCCTGCAACGTAAAAACACCACACCTAAATGCACACACTTCCATGAAGCTAGGAAACATTGAGGAATCAGACGACCACCCCCCCACCGGAGAGACCCACCCGAGGGGACCCACACACCTACCAAGACACACTGATAATGTACTCAGGGACCAGGTAACACGCTAGCATAGCCCTGGAAGGGTGAAAGCACTATACACACCAGGTACTGACAACCAAGCTAGACCACAAGACCCACTAGTTGATACGATATACCACAATACGTGTTCCCTGACTAAATGTTTACTGCATATCGATGCTCCTTAGTTATATTCAAATACGGTTCTTCGACCTGCGAGTCCCAAGTTTGCTACTACAGCACCGTTAAACCATTGTGATTATAAATTTCTGCTACAATAAAAGCCTGTTTAAAATAAAAATAAAATAAAAAAGATTAACACGATTTTTTATAATGTCATGTTTATGGTTATGGTTTTAAAGGGAGACTATAGTCACCAGAACCATTACAGCTTAATGTAGTTGTTGTGGTGTCTATAGGTTGTCATTGTGGGCTTTGTAAATCAAACACAGAGAAACACAGAGAAAAGGAAGTGTTTACATTGCTCCCTAGTAACACCACTAGGTGTAGTCACTCAGACGGCTGCTAGAGATGCTACCTAGTCCAGTGCTGCATAGTGTACCCCACTGGTGTTTTGCATCTCCCCACACTGCATGGAGGAGCTGGATGTTCCTCTTAAAGATTCATAAATTCAATGTATCTCTATGATAAAATGCTGATTAGTGCACAGTGGTTTTTTTGCCACGCTTGCTCCATAGCTTCCAAATGCTTTCTTACGGAGCCGGAGCCAGGCTGGCCAAGCCATGCAGAAACTGGTGTGGATGAAACTCCAGAAATACAACGATCTAGGCACTTACAGAATGCATTTATGGGCTCAAAATTTAACTTTTTAACTGTCACAACTGAGCTGCTCAAGACACACTCTATTGTGTTACCCCTCTGCGTGTTTCTTTGTCCCACCCAGCACCTCATGTCTCATCCTCCTCTCACCGTGTGTTTTCACGTTTTATGTGTCTCTTTGTCTCACAACGCCTTTTTATGTATCTCTTTCTCCCCACAACCCTTCTGTGTGTCTTTGTTTGTCCCTCCCATCCCTTTGTGACCTCTTCCCCCACCTGTTTACCTTCATGTAGCATGGCTAAGTGGACTGCAGTAGAGGATCCTCTGTATACTTTACCATTCTTACAGGAAGGTGTTAGTTGCTCTCACTAAGCAGCATTCTATCAGACCAGGTAGAGAATACAGAAGATCCTTCACCGCGGTCTGCTTGGTAACGTTACATGTTTTGCAGCCCCGGCCCACGCGGCAAACCACCAGGGCTGCCGTTCAAGGTGTCCATCGGGTATCCCATGCTGTTAGGGCCACCCAATTCAGATGGATTTCCAAGGGGCCTGGTCAGCGCTGGGAGCTTTAACAGCACGACCGTGCCCCCTGTGATGACATCAGACAGAGCTGGGAGGAAGTGACTGCCGGTCACTCCTCCCAGCTATCAGTGAGACGCGCAGGAGGAAGGAAGGAGTCAGAGTGGGAACTCTGACTCCCATCAGGCTGAGCCCCCACTGGAACCGAGGTAAAGCCACCCTCCTGCAAAAGGTAGGAAACAGGAAACATTTTGTATATGTGTGCGTCTCTGTATGTATGTGTCTGTATGTGTGTGTCTGTATGTATGTGTGTCTCTGTATGTATGTGTGTGTCTGTGTGTATGTGTCACTGTATGTATGTGTGTGTATGTATGTATCTGTATGTATGTGTGTGTGTGTATGACTGTCGGGGGTGTGTGTGTATGTGTGTCTGTCTGTATGTGTCTGTGTGTATGTCTGTATGTGTCTGTGTGTAAGTATGTGTGTGCCTGTATGTATGTATGTGTGTATATATATATGACAGACCCATCCGTATGAACTAAGATTGCTGGATTCGTCTGTTTGCTTGTTTCACGAATTCCCCCCATTCGTATGCCTGGTTTTAAGTGAATTGACTTTTTTTTACCGAACAAAACTGTCGAACGGACGGCCACCCAGAAGAGAAGTGTGCTGCTGGTTAACCTATTGATCCCAATTAGAACGTTGCGGTTAACCACAGACACTTCTCAATTAAAACCGAATACAGGGTGGTCGTCGTTCGTATGTCGACCACGAGGCGGCGGCCATTTTAAACCATGCGAAAGACCAGCGGTGTTCGGTACTAAATTCATGGAACTGAAAACGGACACTTTTTCAACCGAACACCGCTGATGCCGTCGACCTCCCTTCTCCAATCGACAGAAGTGTGCGAACACCAGCCGTTCGGGAGATTTAAAGGCACGAATGGACTTACCCCAGATAGCCTTCCCATGGAGTCAATCGCATACCGAAGAACTGTAATAGACTTTGACTCCATGGCGATTGAACTATGCATATGGGATCTGAACGCTATTCGCCAATAATATGCACTCAGATCCAGGCTATCTGGGGATGTGTTACACGAATGAGAAATGTTCGGCAGTTATAAAGTTATATATTTTTATTTGTTTTAGGATTTGTATTTAAAATGGCGATTTGCCTCTGCTCTGGGAGATAATTGAATTACTTCTCAATTATCTCCCGGGCAGAGGGGAGGAAACTGTGATGTATGCTGGGAATATTGTGTGACTGTATGTCCTGAAATGCCATATGTCCATCTGCTATTCCAGTCTCCCA